AATATTAGTGAAGCAATATTTGATAATTTATTTTGCTAATATGTTTCTTATTTAGCTAATGTTTTGATTTTTTCACCATGTACAATCTAAATAGCTAACATACTTTTTTAAAAGCCAATAAGAACATTGGTAGAATTCTTCTACATAAGTACAATACTATGTCTTTGATGATAAAATACTATGTCTTTGATGATAATATATTATGTCTTTGTGCTAGAACATTGTGTTCATTGGCGAGCGAGAGCAGCGAGCCATGGTTCACGGCGTGAACCACATAGGATTGCGTAGCAATTCTCGGGGGTTGGCGAGCGCTTGCGAGCAGGGGCGGAGCCTCCTAGTATATACATACACATATATATATATATATACATTTCAAAGAAAAAAACATATTAAAAATATGAACTTACGTTGGAACAGGGTCACATTTTAAATCCTCACGGCAAGAGCAATATATATCGCTAGAATAATTGTAATCTTTGACAAATGTCACCCATAAATAAGAAGTATTTTACAAAAAAAGGAGCAATTGTGCAGAAAAAATATTTTAAGAAAATCATTTTCCATCCAGTTACATTCTTTAATTATCTTTAAAAAAACCAATTGAAAGTCTTTATGCATCCATATATTTTTCACCCTATAAAAAAAGAAGTAAAAAAAACTTTTTTAATAAAAATTTTGATCAGCGTCAGCTCCTTACACACTCGCGCCTTTTTTTTTTTTCCATTTTACTAATTCGTTTTCTGTATGAGACAAAAAGGCCCCCTGGATTTTTTTTGCCTTCTTTTTCCCAAACTGAAAACGTGTTGAATATTTCTTATTTTCATGACTTTATCCAATTTAAGAGCTTACTGAATCATTGTAGTGATAGTCTTATAAAAACGTACGTATTAAACGCTATACCTAGAATGATGGGGGTGGCCAGAATGGCTACTTAGATATATTTTTAGATGTCTCATGATCCCAGGTAGTGTTGGGTATAAGTCATGCTTTGATATATATACGATGACACAGTTTCATTAAAAAAACAAGACCATCTAAAATAAGTATTTATAGAGAAAAAGAAACTCAATTATCTAAAAACTAATGTATACGTTTAATTAAATATCAAACTTACGTAAGAGAAAAGATTTTTCATAAACCCGTAAGTTAAAAACAGTAACGTAATGGAATTAATTAAGCCACAAAACCAAAGCCAACTTTTATAATGGACATAGACCATCTCTTTAAAACAAGAAACCTTACTCTGGTACAGAAGTGACCATTAATACTTGCAGCTTTTGAATTATTGCTGTTAGAATCAATTTTTTATTTTAACTTCTGAGAGTTATAAATTCGGCTGAGACCTAAAAATATAAATATTTTCATTATAAAATTGCTGTTATGAAAATATAAGCGTGGTTTTAAAAAAAGTAAGATAAAAAAAAATGATTACACTGAAATTTCAATTTAAACGTATGTATGGTTATCCACAATATCTCTCTGCTATTTAGACTGATGTTAGAAACAATTTTTTTAAATCTTCTGAAAAGAATCTAAATAATAATTTATATTCTTTAAACTCTTAATTCATCAAAATTTGTAATCTATTACACTGATAACAAAGTATCCTGAAACGTATGCCACAATTTTAACGAAATCGTCTTCATCCATTATAGATGTTTGTTTTGATTTTGCTGTCAAAGTTAAAATAGTATTTTTAACTTTCAATTTTTAGCAAAATCTCCAATTTTCCTTTACTTAAGTTTGATATTTCTTCACTGACGCATGCGCATTTCACCAGAACTGATACTGAAAATTTCGTTTTTGAGCAAGAACTATTTGAGAGAGAATCGTATTTATCTTCTCTTGCAAGTTCTTTGCAAGTCTTGATTGAATTGCCTAGGGCAAATCCGAATAAAATACGGCAGCATTCACCTGTACGACAATCTTTGTTCTCAAAACATTCATCAGCATCGGTTATCTTAAATAAAAAAAAGTTATTAATTAATAAACGCAGTGTACTATCGATATTTCAAACGTTTATGTCTCAAAAACCGTTTTATGTCACTGCATATCCAACTAATGTTAATATTAATTCCTATGTCAAAATTTTTTTTTCTCATATCTTTTTTATGCTGAATATATTTCGAAATAAAAAACCATTAGTTTTTAAATCAGAATTTTAGTTCATTGTTCTAAAATTCTTTTCTACTTAAGGCATATGTCTTTTTGTCTAACTTTTAAAAATAAATTTATAACTGCTGTACAGTCGATTATCATTCTTCTTTTTTGACTTTACTTATTAAAATTCTATTTTAAAATGTATTTTGTAACATATTTAGCTCTGAATTTCTTTTCTCTAAAACTCGCTATAGCGAAATTCCTTGAGCATCATTTCAACTTTGTGATATTAAGAGTATAGTGTAGTTTAAATAAAATATATTTTGTATGGAATTTTATTTACAATAAGCTGACTCACTGTACGGGGAAAAAAGTGTATATACCATCAATAAACTAGTGCTGAAAAACACTACGAAGTCATGCACAAAACTAAAAAATATGTACCTACAAAATTAATATAGCTAAACAATTCTAATTTATTTCCTTTTAATAAAAAAAAACTTTCTTTGTCGGTGGCTTAACGTTGTTAGATTAGATGGAAAAAATTTTAGTAGTTCATTCCATCAAAATAAAATTAATGGCAATCAGTGTCTTTTAAAACAATGATATTGCTCTAGCTCAACTCTTGATGGTTAAAACTTGTCACAATTAAGCGATTTTCTCTGGTTCTCATCCCTGTTGAACACCAGTAACCTTCCACATTATCTATTGGTTTATATCGACTGTAATAACCTGCTAGACCCAAAAATGCTCTAATCTCAGTTTTGATCTTAGGTACAGAGAATTCGGCAACTGCTCGTATATCAGACGGTTTTCTATAACCTTGTCCGACAATACGTCTTAGATAAAGAACATGATCTTGAGCAAAACGGCATTTTGAAGGTTTATTCGAAAGTTCTGCTACTTTAATACGCTGCAGTGCGCAATTCAGATGTTCTAATGATGATTCCAGGTTGTGGGAAATACTAACATGAATTAAACTAATATGAGTCATCGAATAATGAAATAAAACTAAATTGCCAAAATAAACTATTTATTAAAATCTATAAAATGAAAAAAGACCTAGCACATGCTGGAACTTCCAAAATAGCCGGGAAAAGAAACTATGCACCCTGAAACTCGCATAAAAGCTAAAGTAAGCATGCGATAAGAAATCGCTAATCCAACTGAAAGCAGGCAAAATGTTCTAGTTATCAAGAGTTTCAGAGCGCATGCGTTAAAAATCAATAAATAACAAATACGAAAAGCTTTCTCCTAACAAGTTATTGTTAGATTTATATTGTTAGATTATTTTAATAAATTCCATCTAGATAGACTGTTGTCAGGAAGAGGTGTATAATCCCTCACTGGCACTGATGTTAAGGATTGTTCTGTTAGAAAATGCCCAGGAGTTAAAGGAGCTAAATCGTTGGACTCACTTGAAATTGGTGTAATGGTTCTTGAGTTCAAGCACGCTTCAATTCGCACTAGAAGCGTGTAAAACTCTTCATAAGAAAGTATGGTATGTCCCAGAATGCGGTGTAAATGGTATTTCATGGATTTGACACCTGCTTCCCAGATGGCACCCATGTGAGGCTTTGGCGGAGTGTTGAAATGCCAACTTATGTCATTGGTTAGATGAGGGGATATTTTATATGTAGTCCAGTTGCAGTCCTCTTTCAGTATTTTAGATGCACCTACAAAATTAGAACCACAGTCACTATATAGATCAGTACACTACCCTCGTCTACTGATGAATCGCTTTAGAGCAGCAATGAATGCCTCTAAAGTCATATCACCCACTAGCTCCAGGTGAATAAATCTTGCTACAAAGCACACGAATCTTAAGAAATCTAAGAAGTATGTCAGCAAGAGAAGCAGAGTTTGAAAGTTTTTGACAATTGACTGTTTTATCTCGTTTTAACCGTCATGTGACAATACGCCGAAATAGGTTGGAGTTGAATTAATTGTGAAAACGTTGAATAGAATAGTGTGAACTGCGTCTTTTTGCATAATTCGAAAGGAAAATCAACATAGAAGGGAAAATCTATTTGAAAGAGGGAAAATTAAGCACTTCTTAAAAACATCTAATGAAAAAAACACCTTTAAGGACTTTTAAAAAACGAAAATTGAAAATAAGTACCTTTAAGAACTTTTTGAAAACGCTACTCAACCTGTCTATGAACGATACAATGAATAAAGTAAATATTCAATTAAGATAAAAGTTTCAGATAATACAATGCACTTATGTATTTATTCTTCCATCTTAGAAATCATGATCTAATGTTTGTATGATAAAATTATATTTCTGCGTTGGTAACGACAGGAAACAAATCTCATTTTTTGCTTCCTTAGTCAAAACTAATTATTGATAAAATTGCATATAGATCAGATAGAAGAAAATAATTTTAATATTTTATTTCATAAAAATTCATTATACAAATTCATGAAGACATCAAACAGTCAAACCTGATTGTAACCTTCTGCAGACAAGGTAGCTTATGGTAATATGCTGTAATACGTCAACTCAACAGATTTAAAAGACGCTGGGAAAATTCTATACACATAAGAGTAAGTAAAGTTATTTTTACGATATTATATAAGGAATGTCTTATTTTGGAAGTATATACACTAATTCTTAATTTGAAAAATCGAATACGAACTAGCGGATAGAAATGATTTATTATAAAATTACTTGAAGCAATTTAGAAAGATTAAAAAATGAAAATCTGAATTAAATTATTATTTAATTAAATAGCCGTAGTACACAACGAAGAACTTACTTATATATTACTTACAAAAACTTACTTACATATTTTAATGGCGGAATTTTTTTTCTGTAGATGAATACTAGCGTGTTAGACAACAGCAAATTTACGCCAACTTATACTACAATCGTAAAGAATTTCCCCACGACATCCAAAGATAGCCTACATTGGCGTTTTCAGCAGCGAAAAGAATTCCCGTATGGTGCGAATGCTTATAAGGATGGAGAAACTTTTTCTATTATAAGTATTAAGATTTGTTTACACCCTAAAAATGTATATGAAAGCTCGATTTAGGGTTACTTTTAAAAAAAATCCGTCATACAATTTTCTGAGTTTCTCAACATCGGATTTAAAGAGATATTACATCAGTTCTTACAATGCAGTGTTTTAAAAAAATAAAATTACACAAATAAACCTGCCAGGGCAGTCTAGTCGGCAATATTTACTGACTTGTTTCGAGAAAAATTACAAATAATTAATACATTTCCTATAAAAACTACCCATTCTGCCAAAAGCTAAACTCATTATTACTTTAAAACTTTTGCCATTCAACCCTCAACGCAACAAAAATTAAAATTATTAAAAATTTGAATAGGTTTTCCTTTATTTTTTTAAACAATATATTTTCTTTCCGTCATAAGAAGTATGATGAAGTATTATACATGCTAAATAAAGTATTAATAGTACTTTCCCACACAAGCAATAAATTTGATATGAGAATGAAAGTAAGACATTTCATTTTATATGTTATCTAATTGAAGTTTTTCATGGTACCAAATGTATTTTATTCAAAGGCTTCTTTTTTTATATAATTTTTTAATATTAAATATGTAATCTGTGTAATTAATTCTTTAGTACCACTATGGATGATACAATAAACAAAGTGAACAGCTTAATTACCTGAGTTGGTAATGGCTGGAAATAAGTTTCCTTTTTTGGCATCCTTGGTTGAAAATAAATATTTATAAAGTTGCATATATGCAGTTACAAAAAAAATAATTAGACTATTTTTTCATCTATGCATTTTACAAATTTATTAAGACATTACAAATTGCCAAATTTGATAGTAATTGCCAAATTTGAATTGCCATTTCTTAGTTTAAATTGTAACGCAGACAGGGCTCATTTCGTCAACAAGATCGTTTCATCGTCAAGGTCATTTCATTGACAGGGTCGTTTCGTCAACTGGGTTGTTTCGTCAACTGGGTTGTTTCGTCGACATTTTTATTTCGTCGGAAGGGTAATTTGGTGAACAGGTTTGATTCGTCGATAAGGTCATTTCTTCAACAGAGTCTTTTCGCTGACAGTGTCGTTTCGTGGACAAGGTTGTTTTATCGGGGATTGAGTATCCAGGTAGAATATTTCTGTTATTTGATAATCAAAAATTCTCTACAAATTTTTTCAAGAGGAAAAAAACTGTATCACATTTACATTTGTAGTTGCAAGTCAAAATACTAAACTTTTAAGTAGAAAGGGGTTCTTGTTATGGAAGTGCCACTTCTTAATTTTTACTTTAGTTGCAATTTTATACTTATTAATCATCTTTAACAATGGAAGATATTATATTATGAATGGAAATGCTTATTACATATTTCAATATTAACATTTAAACTACTGTTTTTCTATTAACATATAATGAGAAAATAAGAACTAACTACTACATTAGGCTAAAATGTACGATAGGTGTAGGGAAACTGTGGAAACGTCTAGCAGGAATTTATTTTTATTACAATACTATTTTAACGTTTAGAGAGGTCTGGTAGGACACTATTCTCATACAAATATATTTTATTTACAAAATAGCATAAAATGGTGGTCACAATTTATTAAATGAACGAACTTTGTCTATTAAGACTGTTAGAGTTTTCTATGAACTATAAGTAACACAAATATGTGGAACACTATGCATCGTAGTTTGATTTTTTATTAAAAGCATGTTAATGAATAGTTTCAATATTTCGCTGATGCAATAATTCACTGTCTTTTTTTACTGTTATTTTCGCCCTTCATTCACTTGCACAAATTATTCACAGTTGCTACTGCAAATGATTTTGTGATGCTAATCTATAATAATGCGCTTTAAAAATTTAGCCACTAATTTTCGAAAAAAATACGTGTAAAATGTAACTAAAACATCAATCGTAAAAAAAAAATTCGTTTCTGCTACGCGATGTGAAGTAAAAGAAGTAGATAATTTTCAATTTTTAAAAAAAAAACATCTTTAATGGCAACTACAACAAAATATAAGAATTTTGCTTCAGGCTTAATTTAAAAATTTCAAAACAAATACACTAATTTACAAAAACAAAAGTAGCAAAGCGCCTGATCAAATAACGTCTATGCTAACAAATCTATTGAAGAATTATTTTCTATTGTTTTAAAAAGTCTTTTTTAAAACAATAAGAAGAAATTAGGCCTTGTTAGTTAAAATATGTACTTATACCATTTCTTAAGTGATAAATTCTCAAACTATTTTTTTTCGGTCATAAGCAGCGATTTTAAAACGAAAATATCACATGATTTTATATGTACACGTAAAAATTTGACGTTACACTCAAAAATTTGACGTAAGTGAACAAAAACATTTACTCCATAAGAGAAAGCACGAAATTTGAGATATAAATATATAATCAGGACATAATAATTGAAATGGGGCATAAATAAATGAATGCTGATCAAATAATACGTGAATCTAGTAAGCTTTAAAAAAGAACAATGGTATATAGTAGTGTTTAAAATTAAAAAAATAAAATATTGTTAAAGTTTTATCAGAAGTAAATATTTTTAAAGATTCCATTGGAAATTTAATGTCAAGAACTGATGCAGTGTGGAATAAAGCAAGTGAATTACTAAACATAAGACACTGAACGTATACGTTAGACTCAATCGTTATGATATTTTGAAAGATCTGAAACGAAAGTGTGGAATCGAAGAAGTAAAGGAAATTAGCGATGTTTCGATTTCGACTTCGGAAGATTCTGACTTCTCAGTTACTGAGCCAATAAGACAGAATGCATTACCTCCTATGAATTTTCAAATAGATTTGGAAGAAGAAGAATGGAAAAAAATTGCCCCGACGAATGTATTGAGAAGAGAAAAAACTAGAATTCGAAATTATAGGGAATTACAACCAGGTTGGACAGACATAATTGCCCATAAAATCAATGAAATAGCCAAGCTGCCATGTGCGTTTAGTTTCAAACATGCTAAAATTTCCAACATTGAAAATTAAGGTTTGGTTGAAAATTGAAGGTGTCTGTAACGAGTACGGTTGCCAGCTTAAGGGTCATTGTTTGAATGAACCCAAACAAGATCGTGGAATTTCTATTCAAGTTTCAACGTCTAACACTAGAGGAATATTGCACATCCAGAAAAGACACTTAAGAGGTAACAGGCACTCAGAAGTTGGCGAAAGTCTCCTTCATAAAAATGCATCCACCTGGCGAATGGATGCTTCAAGAGGTATGCATTTTGGGGAACCTGTACCAAAGAACTTATACGCTTCGCGTAAAGAAGGGAAACTTCCTATTCTATCAATGCTAAATCGTAACGATCTTTCCCCCAACTTGGGTGCTGAAGGTGTACTGCAGGAAAGCTACCATCAAGAGTGATTGAAGAACGGGCTCAGATCAATTGACTTTAACCCTATGCACTCATATTTCCTCCGTTAACTATAATCGGATTCGATTTTGCTTTTAAATTTTTTTCAGTTCTCAAATTTAGCAGGATTATAATTTATTTTAAAGTAGTTTATATTTAACAAAAGTAATTTTTATTAAAAAATGAAAATTCATTAAAACTTTAAAAATTTGTGTAAAATTGATTTCCACTTGAAAATAAAAAACTTTTTCGATTTGTTAATTTTTCCATAGGTGTATATATATAAGAAATGTGCTATATATATAAAACATTTTAATTATACATACTTAGAGTTTTAAAAAAATAAACAAGACACTTGTTGCTGAATTTGTTTTATTTTTATTAAACTTATCTAAAAAAATTTCTTTTTGGCTATATATTTTAAGA